TGCCACTCTCTCAGAGGGTTTGGCTGCATTGACTGCTGTCAGCTGCTGCAGCATGTCAGCCAGGTGGCAGGTGACAGCATCTCCCACCTCCCGCAGCCCCGCTGCTTCCTCCTTGTCCGGCAAGTTCTCCAGTGCAGGGCTGTCCAGTCCTGGGCCAGGAGAAAGGAGAGTGTGAGGCTGTGACCAGGGAGAGGTTTCCAAAGGCGGGTATAGGCAACACCTTACACACAGAACGGGTCACGTTGGAAAGAACCACAGTGGGGCATCTGGTCCCATCTCCCTGTTCAAGCAGGATCATCCCAGAACACAGGGCACAGGATTGTGTCCAGATGGTTCTGGAATATCTCCAGTGAGGGAGACTCCACACCTTCTCTGGGCAACCTGTTCTAGTGTGTGTTGCCTGCACAGGAAAGAAGTTCAGGCAGAACTTCATGTGCACCTTTGTGCCCATTACCACAGAGCTACAGCTATTGCCGTGCTTCCTCCCCACTCTGTTCCCAGGCAGAGCAAGGAGAACCCCCTCAACCACAAAATGCTCCGAATTTCCATGAGAATTGGGAGATGATGGGAGGGAGCACCAGACCGAGGGTTCTGGATGCTGCTGGAGGCCAGGCAGGCTCTGTCCAGCACTGCAGCCCAGCTGCACACGGGTACTGGCACTCACACTCACCCTCACCTTTGTCAAGGGCACTGGCACTCACACTCACACTCACCTTTGTTGAGGGCCGTCAGTGGCTTCCTCCCGAGCTCCATTCCGCTGGGAGCGATGGAGAACCGGGGTGCGACGGTGAGGCAGCTGGTGGGCAGGCGGCTGGGGATGTAGCCCGAGGTGAAGAACTCGTCGTTCAGCAGCTCGTCGATGGTCGGGCGCGTGGCAGGGTCGGACCTCAGCATCTTCTGGATGAGGTTCGCAGCCACGGGGTTGATGTGCTGAGGGACAGGTGGAGTTCAGAGACAGAGGCCAGTGGGCAACATGCACTAGAGACAGACCAACTGGATTCACCAACCAGGGAAGTTCTGCTTGGAGCAGAGCTCCAGCGCTGCATCGGGCAAACATGACACGAGCCTGGGGAGGCAGAATTGGGCAGCACAGAGAGCTGTCTCCTAACAGCCTGAAGTCAGCTGACTTGAACAAGACCGACTCAGCAGCAGTGGGATGAACTGGAGACCTGGCCCAGGCCTCATGGACTTGCTCGTGTCCATTCACCCTCATGTGCCAACTGCCCAGCTCAGATTTTTGCTGGATCAGGGGCAGAGACCAGCTGGCTCCTCAGGAGGAACCTTTGAGGGTTCACTCCACCACGGACTGAACTGTCCCCACCCAGCAGTAACACCCACTGCCCTGGTACATGAGAGCCCCCCGAGTGCCAGACACAGGGGGTGCAGAGGAGGCTGACAGGGAACTGCTGTGAGGTGAATGGATCCTCCAGGGCAAGCACCGTACCTTAGGGATGGTGTACTCGTTCTTCTTGATCCGGAGGTACGTTTCCTTTAGACAAGAAGTCTCAAAGGGAGGTTTCCCCACCAGCAGAGTGTACCTGGGCGTTCCCAGACAAAAGGGCATCAGTTTTGCAAAAGAGACTCAGGATTCTGTGTGGAAGTGACCCTCTTCTAAGTACACGTGAGGGTTTTCCTGGCAGGGGGAACACACTTGGCATTGGACACTCAGCAGTGCTAACAGCTACTTGTACTTGTGCTTCCCTTTCCCTGGAAAGGGAAGCTGGGATCTAGCACCCTGGGGGGGAAGTTCCAGTTAAGAATGGGAAATGCCTTTGGGAAATGCCCCGGGACAGTCACGCTGAGACGCAGACACGCACCCCAGCACGTCAGAGCACAGGCAAGGCCAGGTGCTGGCTGGCAGCCGGGCTCAGCCAGGAGCCCCAGGGACTGTGACCTGGAGCTTTGGCTCACACCAAAGCTCAGATGGGCCAAGAAGACCAGGACCACAGGGACCACCCACCCCCCTCGCCTTGCAAAGGCATTTTGACTCACATGATGCAGCCGATGGACCAGATGTCCACCTCAAAGCTGTGCCCCTTCTTGCCCAGCACCTCTGGGGCGATATAGTTGGGGGTCCCACACAGCGTCTTCTTGCGCTCGCCGTCGTACTCGACCTTGGTGGCCAGGCCAAAGTCACCTGGAGAGATGGGAAGGAGGGGTGTGTGACCGGACACAACCTGGCCGGCCAGTCCTAGGGCTGGGGTCCCCAACACACCCCGTCCCGGGCACTTACCGATCTTCACCTCCATGTCGTCGCTGAGGAACAGGTTGCCCAGCTTGAGGTCGCGGTGGATGACGCGGTGGCTGTGCAGGTACTGGCAGCCCAGGATGGTCTGGCGCAGGTAGTACCGCACCTCGGGCTCGCTCAGCGCCTTCCGCCGCTTGTGCAGCTCCAGCAGCGACTGCGGGGGACGCTCAGTCAGTGCCGGGACGGGGACACGGGACGGGGGGGAAGGGGACGGTCCATACCCGAGGGACACCGGTGCCCACCGCCCCCCCGAGCCCCGGCCCCTCACCCTGCGGCGGCACAGCTCCAGCACCACATAGACAAAGTCGGCGTCCTCGAAGAAGCTCTGGAATCCGACGACATGGCGGTGGGAGAGGCTGCGGTGGATGGCGATCTCCATGGACATCTTCTCCTTCTGGTGCGGCTTCACCAGCAGCGACTTGGGCACCACCTTCCCCGCGAACACCTCCCGGCTCTCGGCCTCGGCCAGCTCGTAGCACCGCGCGAAGCCGCCCTTGCCCAGGAACCGCCCGCGCACGAAGCTGCGCCGGGTGCGCGGGTCCACGAGCACCTTCGGCACCTCCTTCCCGCCCGCCGCCGCCGCCGCCCGGGCCGGCTCCGTGCGGGGCGGCTCCGCCAGCGCCGCCGGCCGCGCCGCCTTCCCGCCCGCCGCGCTCATGGCGTGCGGGGCTGCGGGGATGCGGGGGGGCTCTGCCGGGGCCCGAGCAGCGGCGGGGCCTGGGCCGGGCTCAGCTCGGTGTCGGAACACCGGCGGGTCCCGGTGCCGGGGAGCGGCGGGTGCGAGCACGGCTCGGAGCCCGAGCAGCAGCGGGGATCGGGGCTGGGCTGGGCTAGGCTCGGTCGGTGCGGGGGTCGGTGGGTGCCGGTCCCAGGCTCAGCTCGGTCCGGTCGGTCGGTGCCGGGCTCGGCTCAGCTCAGCTCGGTCCCGGTTGGTCGATGCCGGCTTGGTCGGGTCGGTGGGTGCCGGTGCCGGGCTCGGTCCGGTCGGTCGGTCGGTGCCGGGATCGGTCGGTGCCGGGATCGCTCCGTTCAGTCAGTGCCAGTGCCGGGATCGGTCCGGTCGCTCGGTCGGTGCCGGGCTCGGTCCGGTCAGTCAGTGCCGGTGCCGGGATCGGTCGGTGCCGGTCCGGATCGGTGGGTGCGGGTGCCGGGTTCGGTCCGGTCAGTCAGTGCCGGTGCCGGGTTCGGTGCGGTCAGTCAGTGCCGGTACCGGGATCGGTGCAGTCGGTCGGGTCGGTCGGTCGGTGCCGGGCTCGGTGGGTGCCGGTCCGGGCTCGGTCCGATTCAAACCCCCCGGGCCGTTACCGCGCGCGGCCGCTCCCCATTGGCCCGAGGATTTAAAATCCACGCGCGCGCGGGGCACCATGGGAGCCGAGCGGGGCACGCGCCGCCGGGGGGCGGGGCCGGGCGCGCTCGGACACGCCCCCCCGCGCGGGCG